AGAGAGGAAAGAGAGAGAAAGAGAAGAAAGAGAGAAGAGAGGAAAGAGAGAGAGAGGAAAGAAAGAGAGAAAGAGGGAGAGAGAGGAAAGAGAAAGAGCGGAACAAGAGAAAGAGGGGGAGAGAAAAGAGAGAAAGAGGGGGAGAGGAAAGAGAGAGAGAAAGAGAGGAAAGAGAGAAAGAGGAAAGGAGAGAAAGGGAGAGGAAAGTGAGAAGAGAGGAAAAAGAGATGGGGAAAGCGGGAGAGGAAAGAGAGGAAAGAACGAAAGAGAGGAAAGAGGGAGAAAGAGAAAGAGGGAGAGGAAAGAAAGAGAGGAAAGAGAAAGAAAGGGGGGAGAGGAAAGAGAAAGAGGAAAGAGGGAGGGAGAGAGAGGAAAGAGAAAGGAAAGAGACACACAGAGAGAAACCCTTTTGACATCTAAAATGAAGATAAAACTGCATATATCCTTTTTCACCTTTATTTTATATATACACACACAAACACATACATACATACATATATTAAAGATAAAAAAGGATATATGTAGTGTTATCTTCATTTTAGATATCAAAAGGGTTTTGCGGCTCCCAGCGTTTTGTTTTCGGTAGGAAATGTGTCCAAGTGGCTCTTTGAGCCACAGAGGGAGGAAGGGTGCCAAAGACTGAGAGCGGCCTCCCCAGATCTGACAGGCACGATGGGAAGGTCTATATTTGAGCCCCTTTCTTCGCACAGTACCTCAGCCCCAGGGGCCTGGTCTCCCCCCAGGGGAATTCCTGAGTCAGATTCAAACCGAAAATGAAGAAAAAGTAAAACTTTTCCCCCTCCTTCAAATCTCAGTCAAAATTTTTTTTTTCATTGTCATTATTAGTGGAGACACTGATATCTGTTCCCTAGAGTGAGGTTAAACTTCTTTTTACCAAAGATCCAACAGAGATTATACAATAATCACTTTGCAATTTTAGATAGGTTTTTAGAAAACATCATCCTTGCAAGTCTACAGAAATTAGCTGTAAACCATCTACAAGATTCCTTAACTCAGGAATAGACAACCCGTCATTGGCCCCACCACACTCACAGCCCAAGGTGTCCTTCTCCTGCAGCACTGAGGGCGGCGGCGGCGACAACGGGAGGACGGCGAAGTGGCGCAGCTGCCCGCTCACCACCGCCTCTTTGGTCTCGTTCAGCATGACCGCCGGCGGCAGCAGGACACCGAAGGGGCGTGGCTGCCCGCTCGCCACCACCGCTTTGGCCTCGCTCAGCACTACCGGCAGCAGCGGCAGCGGGAGGACGGCCAAGAGGACCACGCAGGTGGGGAAAGGGCCGGGCAGACACCATGGGGGAATCTCTCAAAAGAGACCATGGGGATCCACTGCCCATGAGACGGCCAAAAGGCGCAGGCAGAGAGGGGAAGCTACAGAGACCCCCGGCGACCCCCAACTAACAGAGGGGCAGCGGAGCAGGGCGAGGGGAGACCCACTGGGCAGGGAAGAGGTACCCCGAGACTGGCCACCCACGGCTCCTTACCAGGGACATCTTTCCAGCAATCCTCCCAGTGACCACATGCAGTCCGAAGAAGGAAAGAGGTTTCTGGGCAGTCCCACAAACCAAACAAGTTCAACCAATCAATTCAAACTTCATGAGAAGTTTGAATTGATTGGTTGAACTGTTTTAGTTGCACTTTTTTTTCAGACTGCACATGGTGGCTGAGTACAGGGAGCTACAGAAGACGGCTGAAAAAGCCGCATGCAGTTCCGGAGCTGCAGGTTGCCGACCTGTGCCTTAACTGATAATCTCTGTGGTGATCTGAGGTCCAGAACTTCACCAGGCCCAGTATTAGGAAAAAGAGTCAGTCTGATGTTTTGATTAAGGCAACAGCCTAGAAACCAAGAGACTGTAAGTTCTAGTCCCACTTTAGATACAAAGCCATCTGGCTGATCTTGGACCAGTCATTCACTCTCTCAGGACTAGAAAGGAGGCAATGGTAAACCATTTCCAAAAACATTGCTAAGAAACCTGCAGGAACCTGTCCAGGAGATCACAAGAAGTCAAAGCTGACTTTAAGGCATACACGCATACACATATCCAACAGTATTATGAAAATAGTTTAAAGGTGGTCCTTGTTTAAGAAACATTCATTCAGCAACAGTTCAACTTATGACAGTGCCAAATGAGTAGTAGTTACAACCAGCCCTCATACTTACAGCTAGCATGGTGTTGTCAAGCAGAAATCAGGTGTGTTTTGATGCAACCAAAGAGACACGAGTCCAGATTATCTCTCTTTAAAAATATGTGTTTATTCAACTGAATAAAGACAGGTCCACCCATAAGTTTGGGAAAACCCTGAAGGTAGTTTGAAGCAAGTATATATAGATTTCTTATTTCTTGCTGGCTTTCTGTTGGTTATATAATACAGCAGCTCCCAATCTTTTGGGCACCAGGAATTGGTTCCATGGAGAAAGGTTTTTCCACAGACCGGAGGGGCATGATTTTGCATGCTGCCTGCATCCCGCAGATAGGGCTTCACTTGATTGCGTGGCCCAGTTGCTGGCATGCTGCAGATCAATGTCAGTCCATGGACTGGGGTTGGGGACCCCTGATATAATAGGAAGCGGGCATACAGTAGATAAGGTACAGCAGTTACAAAAATGCCTGTGTCTTAGCTCACACGCTTGTGGTTTTTTATGGGATTTTCCACAATGTCAAGGGCCTGCTAAGGCCTAAACCTTATTTCTGCCATTTCAACACAAGAACATTTTAACCAATCATTATAGTTATAAGAATTCTGATCAATATAATCCCCCTTTCATATTTTGAGAAGCACATGGAAGTATGATTAGCAAAGACAGGGTAAGCAGAGACAGCATATGAGTCACACGTCTGATGTCTAATGGGACAGGTGTTAGGGCAGGCAGACTTGACCAGAGGAAGACAATGTATGCAATATCAGAAGAAGAATGTAAGGAAGATGACAAAAAGGATAACCAAAAAAATCTATAGGAACCAACCCCAGCCAGATAGCCAACTAGTAAGCCAAGAGGATAGTCCAGAGAAGAGGCCAGTATCAGCATCCTTGGGTCTGTTCTGGATCTCCTTTTTCATGAGATAGATGGTGTGATTTATACTATTTATGCTGATAATTTGAGATGCAATTTTAACAATAAGAATGAATTAATGTACAGACAACTCACTTGGCAGCAAGGACAACATCCAAGGCCTAGTGAGTTTGCATCACTACTTCTATAATTTCCCCTTGCTTCTTATTCAGGTGGAGTAATGCCTGAACTGTATGGTTGTACCTGTCCAATTCCCTAACTCTAAAATGGATTCATAATTGAAACCTACTCTAAACATTGGAAGTAGAGCTCTGCCAAAAACATTTCCCAAAATCTGTACTATGGGATGGTGCTCAACGTGATCCACATCACATTTATTGCAGATGCAGAAATTCCAGTCATGGTGCTGTTATGATCCTATCTGAGGGAAAAATCACTCCCACAGTGCATGCCCCAAACCAGAAAACCAGTAGATAATTTATAAGCAAAGTGTCCACATAAGAACCACTAATTGGGATGACTTACTATGAAGTATCCTTCATTTGATGGAGCCATCGTAGTGGTCCATATGACCCCAGGCTGATACTGCCTCATACAAGTTGCACAGGACCAATGGATTATGATCCCTACTGATCTTAATGCGAAAAGCCTGATTGCATTTATGTGCCACCTCCTATAAAGTGCGGTTGACTTTCCAGGTGATGGCGCACCAAGCATATATACCAAGTTTATATTTGTAGGAAGAATTAAAGTGTTGGAGGCAAGTCACTGCTCAGTGTTGGATACAAGCCCCTAACTTTGCAACATTATTTTTTTATTATGGAGAACAGACATCTTCCAACATTTGTATTTGGTACACGTACCATTTGTGATTTGGTAACCGTGGGCTTCCAATAGGACTGCTTCAATGACCAACCCGAATGCCGGTCAGGGATAGTGTGCACAGATCCAGTAATTGGTAACATTTAAGAGTTTTGTCCAGATCTGGATATTCTGAATATGTGTGTTGATACTGCAAACCCCCCAAAAATGGACCCAGATGCGGTTTGTTGTCCTTCCATTTGTTTTGGGGTGGGGTGGGGTGCTGCCTTCATGTTCCAAGGTTTTTGCACGTCCTGGTTGCACTGGGTGGCATTTGCTGGAAGATCTTCCTTATTGACTGACCCTCTATGAGCTTCAAATTTTGCTTCCCTTATTATACCCTCTTGGCCGCCTTTTTGTATATCAAGTCACATGGTGGAAAAAGAGTGCTTATGACAAATCACTGAGTGGCTGTTGGTAAACTAGCCACCCTTTTGTATTTTGGCATGCAACTGAAGCATCAGGGGCTACAGTCCAATGATAATCAGAGTTCTCGAGAGGATCAGAGACAGGAGTGGTGAATCCAGGTGCAAATGCCAGCAACTTTGACAGCCATATGGGTCATGAGAAGGACGAGGAAGGATCCTTTCCACAGCCAGGGGACCGGAATCAGTCTAGGATTTCATGAGCACCCAGTCACCAGGAAGGAAGGAATGCAGTGGGTGATCCAATCCCAGATGATAGAGGGCCTGGACAGCTTGGGAAATGGAGGAGACATTTTGAAAAAAAGAATGGATATAGTCCTGGAGGGCTTGGTCCCCAAAGGCAGGAAGGGATATGGACATGGAAACATGATAAAGATTTAACTCATTTCATGTAATTATGTTGTACATACAGTAATTCATTGAAGGCTTTCAGAATAAAATATTTTGGCAGCCATGTGATTGCTTTGTTTCATCTTTTCTGTCAAGCAAGAATTTGGGTTCTCAAAAGCCCAGATACAAATTTATTTGCAAAATGTTCTTAAAAGATTCATCATTAAGCAAGAATAGAAGAAAACCTAGAAAAATTCAGTTTTTTTATTTGCTATACTTTTGGTTTTGTAAAGTGTAATGTTATAAAATTAGTCAGTGGTACTGATTAACATAAAAATGGAATTAGTTCTTGCCTGTAACATCAGCTGCCATCAAACCTTCTGCTCTGATGACCTTCACCTGGAGAAATCCCACATCCTTTATATTTTGAAACATCTGCATTAGATTCTAGAAATATACACAAAATTTAGGAAGTTACACTGAAGTCATAAATAAAGCAAAATATGAGGAAATCGTTCCCTCTCAAATATTCTAAGTTGTCCTAATGGCTTTCATTATATATGTTTTAATACATCCTAACTGTGCACTTAGGCCTGACTCAACCCTTTATTCTGGAACTGGCTTACTTGGCAGAAGGCTCATGAACAAGGTTGGAGGCATTAGTTTTGATTGTAGACAAAAAGAAAGAATTCAAAAAGAAACATATAGATATGTTTCCACTGTAGTAGACAGATGTCAAAGTTTTTATATATGTATGGATTCTGGATTTAATTTCTAGGCTTTTTTCTCCAACTTTCCTCAGTCAGCAGGAATTTGACTGATCTCTTGATAGCCTTGGAAGGCACTTGAACTATGTTCATCTAGTTCCCCATTGGCATGGAAACCACTGGTTCCTGTCATACCACTTTTATTCCTTAACATTAGTTGACATTCAGTAGAGAAAATATTCGGTTCTATTCCAAATACATAATTTAATGTCTAATTTAAAAAGATGATATTTAATGTTTGTTGTTTATTTTAAATCATTAATTGGAATAGTGCCCCAGAATTATATTAAATGATGACACCTTGGTCATAAGGTATTTCTATTCTACAAACCAGAGATTTAGCAGGTCCTTGAGATATAATTTAGAAATTGGAGTGTTTTTATGAGTTATCTGTAACAAAACTAAAATTATGCATACATGAAAATACATAAATATATTTTTATACCACTTAGCTTTATTCCCTACAGCTTCCTCATATTGTTCATAAAATAGTAATTATTTTAATTTGTTTATAAGCTTTAATTGCGTAAAGACAGCATGTGTTCAAATTTCATATGTTATTATGGTATAAAGCTATATTTACTATATAGATTTATAATTACTACTATATAATCATTAATTTATACAGTATAATTAAAATAGTTTATAAAAGTGTTGTCTTTTTAAAAAATAGTATTTTTTTTTTTTTAAAATCAGGAAACAGCAAGTAAAGAATGAATTTCTAAACATTTTAACAGGTTAAATCCCATTAAAGTAGCAAATCTGGATTTTAACTAATGTCTGAATTAATGCTCTTTTCCATTATGGTGCAAAATTTAAATTCTTAATCGTATTCTGTTTAACAAAAATGTTTTCTGCTTGAAAAAAATTGAAATCTTAACCTTGTATTAGACAGACCCATTTATAAATAAGAATGAGACGAATAGCCCACAATATACATCTCACAGATGAAAGGCAATGTAGTTTATATAGCACATCAATATTCAGATAGCTCTAGTATTCTATAAGATCACTAATACTATATCTGTTAACTTTTAATTTCACAATATTTGCCTATTAGAAATTTGCTTAATCAGAGAGACAATCTCCCCCTCTCCCTCCCTTTATTTTCCTGATATGGTTTAAAACTGGTTCTTAAAGAAAGCAACAGAAAAATGCTGTTTGTCATTACTTATCATTTACACTATTATAGTTCTCAAAAAGGTCTGGGGATTTCTTTTTGTCAATCCTAGTATTTTAATACAGATATTTTCCAGTTCCTTGCTATGTTGAACAAGGGAGGTAAGCAGGCAGGCATGGTGAAATTGAAAGTCTTTTTTGTTGCTTTGAAAGTGCATTTGTCTTGCATTTCCTGTTAACACAGAACAAAAGCAAAAGTCAACTTTTTCACCTATATGCACATTCCGTTCATTTAAAAAGATCTAGCAATATTTCGCCCACTATTATTTGCCAGTGGGATAATTATAGTTTGAACTTTTAGATTTTGCTAGTCAGCTGATTTAAAGCAATTTACTGTGTTTCTGACAATCTTAGCCAATGACATACTGCAGATTATTGTAGGATTTTGTGAAAAGCAAATGACTTTAATACATTACTTTAAGCATGCAACTTAAAGTAATGATTTATGAGATGATTATCAGTCATCTTATTTATGAAGACTGTTGGAGGCCTCAAAACCCAGATGGTATTGGAGGCTTCAAATTTCCATAGCACAGAAATCTATGATTTGCTGTGAATCCTTTCAGCCCTCAATAGATGGGAAAAGATTGAAATGCTCTGGAGATGAGTCCTCTTTATTTTTTTAATGAAAGGCTGTATAATATATTTTCTGTATAGCTGCAGCAGCTGTCAGTGAGAGCATCTCAGTTCAGCTCTATTATGGGAGAACCAATATCCCATCCTATGGCATCAAGATACACTGAGGGGCCAGCACTGATTGACAGCTTGTCACCATGACGTCTTATTCCATCTCTGTTATGGAGAAAATTAATGTCACACCACCAGCCTTATGACTCGCTGTCATCTTATAACTGCTCACCTTTTATCAATGCTCTAAATAACATTTCAAGCCCATCGTCTCACGGTGGACAATCCGGTCAAGGGACATTAAATCGGATGACTGTGAAATGTCATAATAAAAATGGAATGCTAACAACTTCTTCACTAAACTAGCTTCTCTGGTTTTTAAACTGTGACAAGGGGGAGCAGGGGTTCAGCATACCCTTTCTGAAAAGGTCATAGAATCTCTCTTTTGGTCTGCTACCCATTACGGCCCTCCTCCCATCCCAAAAGGAATTAATCTTTTCATACAATTGTGATAAAATGGTTCAAACAGTAATGCCTCTTTAATTTGTAGGGCTCTGATGTTCTGCTACAAATGGTTAAATGACAGTAATAGAGTCATTTTCCAAGACTATTTGATCTGATGGCAGGGTCAGTGCATTTACTCTTTTCAGTCTCAAAAATAGTGCAAAATACATTTTTAAATAGAAAGACCTTCTTCTAAATATTTAAAAAATAAAAAATAAAACTTTATAAATAGTTTTAGAGTAAAAAAGATGATAAATTTGTCAGTTATCCAATAATATTTACTTCATATTTAGTGAAGGATAACAACACTAATATTGAAGATTTCCTGTAAAATATGCAGGGATAAAGATTTGCTACAAAAATATGTAGGACATGGCTATTTCTATATACTGTATACTACGAATCCAGAATTATTGCAGCTATGTATGGCTCATGTTGATGAACCAAGTTTTTTAGCTTGTAGGTAAACAATGTAATATCTGAAATAAACATACTGGTAATTTTAAAAAAATGATGTTTCTATTCTCTATTAAAATTTGCTTAAACTAATAAAAAAGTGGGGGAAAAGAGATGTAGGTCCAAGAGTTATGTTTTACTGGCTATTTGCTTATTATTATAAGATAATCACAATCAACATCCTTTGCTTCATATTTTTCTGATATACTAGAGACCAAAATGCATATTTCATTAAAATTAATATCTGAGAAATGCATTTATCTCCCAAGATAGTCTGACAGATCAGCTTGCCTTAGTTGATTAAAAATCTGAAATAATACTGGTAATCATTACCATTACCATTTTTAGATTGTTTAGTACATTTCTTAGTTCTTACTTGATTTTTAAAATATAATGGTTAGCCTGGCTAAGTCACCTCTATTAAATTGTGTTTATGATAATTTTATTGGTGTATGATGTGTACAAGTACTTGCAGACAGCTGATTCAGTTGAGATAGATAAAATAAATTTGCTGAAGCATACATCCTGCTAATCTGTTTGAAGAATATTGTACAGCAATAGTACTAGCACTTCATATTATCTGCACAGTCTGATAAGGTACATCTTTATTAAATTCACTTATTGAGAGGATGTCATCCACAGAATAGGAATATTTAAAAAAAACAAAAAAAAATTAAACAGCCCTCTGTTAATCAGAGTTTAGCTTAATGCACAGTGTCTAGAGATAACTTTTAAACACCTGACAAACCTATACAATAAAAGCTTTGTAATTTTAGGGGAGATAGCTTTTCTTCTTTCTTCTTTGTGTTTAGAAAATCAGTTTTAGTGAACCCAATATTAATAAAAGCTGGAGTAAGAGCTCCCCTTGCTGTTCCTTTACTAAAACTACACAACTGTTTCTATGATACAAGGACAGGATATTTTTCAAAATGTTCAATCCAGATTTTAAACATTCAGTATCCTTATTATATCTTTATGTTAGATTTCTAAACTACTAAAAACATCTGATTCTAATAGAACAAATCCCTGAAGGAAAGATTTTGTTTTAAATAACGACAAAGTTGATCTATACATAAAATTCAATTCCTCAGCTACTTAAGGACATTATTTGTTGGCAATGTTCAGTAAGGAAATGTCTTAATTATAACAAGAAGTTAACATTTCAGTGAAAAAATAAAATCAAGTTAAATTATATTTATTTATTTATTAAAAAGAACGTTTATCACCATAAACTAGAGAAAGCTACCCACAAGAGTTAATACAGATGAGTTACTATATATATAGTCCTAATAGAGTGAGCAACAGGCTGATGAGAAGAAGAGACAACTATGGTTGCCATACTAAACTGACATTCTAAGAAAAGTGACTTTAACAATTGTTAGTACCTATTATGTTGGGTTCTTAACCATAACGTTTCTCTTGGGGTGGGGTGGGGTGGGGTGGGGTGGTTATCTAGAAGAACTCTGACTTGTGGGCTCTTTTGGACATCAGAGTACTGTAAGTGGTGGAAGTTGTGGAAAAAGGATTTCATCCCCTTTTTTTACCATTTGGTAAAACTGTATTGTATAGTTTTATTGTTAGCTACTGGGAGCTGGACTATTATGGCAGCATATAAGTAAGTAAGTGAGTACGTAAGTAAGCAAGTAAAAAAGTAAGTAAGTAAGTAGGTAAGTTTTCCTTTTACATTTCACTGTTTATCACTGTAGTCTTATGCAAAAAAGAGTTAAAAAAAAGATGCTGCATACATATCTTTTTAGGATTTCTTTCCGTTCCTTTGGGTCTTCCAAGGCATTCATTGAAAGGTCAGAGATGCTGACCGCGGCTGAAGCAGTCAATGTAACCAGCAGTACCAGATGCCCTTCGCCTTCTTCCAGAGGCAGCTCTAGCTTGTGAGTGTGCTCTTTGCTTAGAGTTGACAGGTCAATCTGGCACCTAGAAACAAACATTTTGATTAACATGTCATTAAGTTTACAACAACGCTATGAAATACTGTGAACTCAGTTACATTAAATGAACCATATGATATTTATTTGTTTTCAGGATGAAATCTTCAAATTCATCTATTTTGTCATTCAGCAAAACAGATATTTTATAGTATCATATTCCTGCCTATGAAGTTGAAATGTTAGAAAACAGAGTACTAGAAATGAAATGTACTTTTAACTTCCTTATATAACTTTTAAAAATTCATTAGCAGGGAATCCAATATGTTGCTAATGCTGACCAAACTCCTTTTGTTGACTGAGCAGCAAAGAATGAAGTTCCCCTCTTCACTACAGCCTCTGCTCGCACGTTCTAAAAATTACTTTAGATAGTGTGTGTGTGGGGGGGAGAATCTTGATTTGGGAGGGAAACAGGGAGATTAAAAGTCTTATCGGTCAGATTTCAACATATGTAATATTGGCATTTAACCAGAGATGTAATTGAAATCTATCCAACCTTGGTTCAGAGTGAAACATATAATGTTTGGCTACACATTCCACACTTTTTTCTAGAATCACAATTTATAATGATATACCTCCATCTAGGAGATGGATTATTCCAGCCATAAGAAGAAGTGAAGAAAGAGATAGAATTTTAGAAGTATTTCCCAACTAGCACCTAATAAGTCAGAAAGGAAAAGGATAAGCAGATTTTGTGCTCCAGAAATCAGTATCATATGAACATTATAATCTGGATATGGAGGTGAGTGTAGAAATAGACCTATCTTTGCACATTATTTACAATTCCTGTGTGGCAAATTTCTTGCTGATAATGAACTGTTAATAGGCAAAGCCCTAACCTAAGCATGAAACACAGACAACAAAGTCAGGCAAAGCCCTTGAGGCATTAAGCTGATTCAAGCAATTCAAGTACTACTACCTCCAATTTAATTTTAAAAGTTGTTAGGAATAAAAAAAATCAAACAGATAGACTCCCTTCAAGAACTACATCTATCTGAGGAGCCCTGATGATGCAGTGGTTAGAATGCAGTATTGCAGGCAAACTGCCCACAGCCTGGAGTTTGATCCTGATGGGGCTCAAGGCTGACTCACCCTTCCATCCTTCCGAGGTCAGTAAAATGAAGACCCAGATTGTTGGGGAAAATATGCTGACATTGTAAACTGCCCAGAGTGTCCTATAAAGCACTATGGGGCAGTATGTAAGTCTAAGTGCTATTGTTATTCCTATCTACTTATTTAAAACCTATATCTTCAAAGATCATATTCCAACTTCCAATGTAATATATATGTCAGATAGATAGAAAGTACTGTATAGCCAATAACTGAGTTAATTATCAAATATTACCAACAGAACCCTAATCTTGCAACCTAATTCTTTTGAAATATAATTTTGAAAAGGGATGATTTTTAATTAATAAGATCTTCCATCAAATTTACAAAAACTATTTCCCTACAGAATTAGGCAATTTCTAAATGTTATTTCATCTTTTAAATACAAAACAAATTACTTCAAGCAATTCAAAATTATATGTTCTCTTCTTCAAAGCTCATTCTCATACTATAAGTTATTTGTAGACAAACCTGCCAATAAAATCATCCTTTTTGCCAGCATCTCTGTCCCATACTGTAATATCAATAATTCCACCTCGTTCCTCATAAAGATGTAAGTCAAATTGTTCCCTCCACCTGGGATTCAAAGTTTTTGACATTATCTAAAGAAAAAAATTTAAAAAAATACTTCTGAGTTATGATGCCTTTTATCTCCAAGAAAAATATTATTTTGATTATTTTAACAGGTATCTATTTACCTACTTAGTTTTGGATTTAAATATTATTTCTCTTCTGGATAGCAGGAAATACAATATTTGTCCACATTTATTAAAATGGTCACTGAAAAACATGTTAACATTTTCTCAAAACACACAAAAAAGTATGAAAATTATAACAAGGCATTATTATTTATTGTTTTAGCACATTCGCCTTTTACATCACAAAAGAACTAATATACTGAGTTTCTAGTTTGTTTCTCCTTCAAACTCTTAAAATAGATTAACTTTTTCTTGCTTAGAGACAGAAAGATGAAACAGATGTTACACCTTTTTCAATCTGACATTCATAAAAAATTAATTTCTTTTCTCAGTATTTTTTTCCTTTAAAAAACCTATAATAAAAAGAGCTGAATTATTAAAAAGAAACGTTACATAAAAAATAAAATAGGACATTCCTCATTCAATTCTCAAAAACTACATAAAATGTATCATTTAATTTATTGCTTAAGAGTTTTATTTCTGACCAAAATAGTATATGAGACAGGAACACAGTTCAAACTGTCACATGACCTCATTTTGAAACATTGGCAACCTGTTTGCATTTATGACCAGTTGCAAGTGCTCTGTAATCATGTGGTCACAATTTGCAATTTCTCTGCTGCCTTCCCCAGAAAGTTAATGGGGAAAACTGCAGAGTAGGTTGAAAGTAGAGGGGATGTTGGAGTTTGAAGTTTATTTACCCAGCATACCAAAGAATTTCCTCTCCCCTCTATGCAGGGAAGTAAAAATCCTCCTGCATGCTAGAGGAACAGTCCTCAAATCTTGGGGAAATGCTAGTGAGTTTTCCAGAACCCTGACATTTATAGTACTTTCACCAGATTTGAGATCTGCTTCACCAGGGCATTAAGGGATTTCCAAATTTAGCAAAAAAGCTTGCAAATACCATCATTCTCACAACTGTTCTCCTTGGTGGGTGGGGAGAGGGCCCAGGACTCCCCAGTAGAGTGGGAAGGCCAGGTCCTCTCTGTGCCTCACCATGCCTGGGAGGCCCAGACCCTCTTCCTGGTGCTTTGCTTAATGACCTATGTGGCTGCTTAATGACTGCAACTGGAAGATCTAGGATTGCTACTGTTGAGTGAAGCAGTCACATGGTGTCTTCCTTAATGATCACTTTGCTCAAAACTGAGATTCTGGACCCCATTGTGGTTGTAAATAGAGAACTATCTATATTCTTTTTCAAATTAAAAGCCAGTAAGAACATGGACTCATACAAATCATGGGATTAATCTTTGAGGTCTTCAGGCCCCATCCCCTTCCCTACCTTCACATTTACAGAGAGCAAATCCACATGCTTTTGTCTGTGATGGCCTTTCAAATATTAGAAGACTACCATTAGGTCTTCTTTTAGCTTTATGTTCTAAAATCCGAAAATATCTAGTTCTTTTAATCCGGGGGTGTCAAACTCACATCACGTGACGTATCACGACTTTTTTTCCATTGCCAGCAGTTTTGGCATGACACATCCAGCCCACGGGCCGGCAGTTTGACACCCCTATTTTAATCATTCTTCACAAGGTTTACTATCCAACCTTATATAATCGTTGGTATTCTCCTCTGTACTTTTTCCATTTCTTCAACATCTTTCCTGTACTTCTTGTTGCAGAACCCAACATTTATCTGTATTTTGTGGAATATAGCCCAATGCTCAAGTATCTGATTAAGCTGAGGTCTAAAATCATATAATTGTATTTGGAGATTTGATTTAGTAAGTCACTAGCTTTAAATCTAAAGTTCCAACATTGCATAGTATTAAGATTAATCAACACTTCACTATTGCAGTAGTATAATAATATAATAATCAAGACCTGCAAATAGAAATACAACGATTGGCAAAAAGGTAGTACCAATAGCAATAGATGCCTTGAGTGCAATTCCAGAACAACTGGATCACCACTTGAACATATTTGACATTGACAAAATCACCATCAGTCAATTGCAAAAGGTGGCCTTACTCAGAACAGCTTACATCCTGTGACAATATCTGTAATACCATCAAACATCCATATCTGTCTATCCTAGGTCCTTAGGAAGGACTCAATAGGTGGATAAAAATGCCAAATCCAGTCTGCAATGAACCATAATAGTCAGAGCAATTTCAACAAAAAAGTGCTGAAGTTACATTTAAAAAATTCTACCAGTCTCGAATAAATAGTTTAAGAAAGTCAAAAGTTACCTTACTCTTGTACTTCTGGTGTCCCAGCCGAAATTTCACATATGGATCACTCAGCCCATTTGAGTCCATGGCTTTGAGTCCATGACCTTCAATTAAAGTGATACTGACTATTCCTCTCCATAGCTGAGCTTTTCTGTACAGGTCTGACAGACGTATACTTTGGGTCTGAAACTTCAGGTGCAGAGAGAACTCTCATTTACTAAATCAGAAGCAAACAATAACTTTGTAATTTGTTTTTAGAACAGAATGGTTGTTTTAAGAAAATATTTAGGAAAGGTAGAAAAATTTCTTAATGTTTAGAAAACTTCTTTGATGAATCTTCTTTGATAAAATCTTGATGAAAACAACATTTTAGAATAGCAAGAAACAACTGCATCTCATTCTTTACTATTACTCCGCTTTTGAAAAAAAATGGAAAAAATGGAATTGTGATTATATAAACAGGAAGTCTTTGGTTAGTGGGCAATTTGTTCTATGGCAAACAAAGAATTATTTGAAAGTTCTTAGATGATGTTTGTAACTAGCAGCTATAATGTACCTGACTTGCAATAAAAATGCAACCCTAATCCAGTGATGGCGAACCTTTTAGAGACCGAGTGCTCAAAAACTGGTCCTGCCCCCGCTCCACCCCCTGCCCTGCACCCACCCCACCTGCCTGCAGGGCCACTCACCACCTCCAGGGCCCGCCGCAGATCGCCCAGGCAGCCCAGCAGGACCATTGCGGCCATGCCCTCTGCCTGCGTTCCGCAGCATCAACTGTGTGTGATGGGGTGTGAGGGCAGAGTCTTGTCTATGCTGCGTGGCTGCCATGTCCTTGGCTGCACTGCTCCACGTGGGCCACGCTTAGAGGTGACTCTCCTCCAGGGGGGCTGCTGGTAAGGAGGGGATCACAGGAAGAGGCAAGGCTGGGCAATGGCACATGTGCCATAGAGAGGGCTCTGAGTGCCACCTCTGGCATGCATGCCATAGGTTCGCCACCACTGCCCTAATCTTTTATAAATCATTTTAGTAGCCTCTCAACTTTTCAAATACACTATATTCAGAAAATCTACTACTTTTGTTATCTTTCTAATAATGAATAATCGATAATATTGCATTGCTTGAAATTACCCCTAAGTCTTATTGTCACTATAATTTATATCCAACAGTTACTCAAAGCATGTCAAGGTAGTTAAGAAAAACTACAAAGCACTTTTGAAATTAAAAAACAAAAATAAAGAAAACACCAAGAGTTTCTTTTTTAAAACAATTGCAAGCAAAGAATGAGCTGAATTTAAAAGCTACCTTGATACTACGTAGTTTGAAAGAAAATATGACAATAAATAAAATAGATGTTATATAAAATAGTGGTTTGTACATATCTGGGGGAATCTTCTGGGCATGCATTGAAAATTAAAATAAAACTTTTTAAACAATTTTTTCATTTAACTGGCTGAAATTACAAATTAGCATCACCATCTAGCCTAAGGAGCATGCAACTATCTACAACAAGATTCCAGGACAAAGAATTAAGAATATCCACAATATCTGTCTTAAAACAATGCCTTAAATCTTGATTGTGTGAATGGAACATGTTTGACATTCATGAACAGGATTACCCAAATCCTTACTGTCTCTACCGCCTCTTGAACATTTATTCATATGCAAGATAATATAAGGAAAAGTAAAAAGCATAAACAACCCATTAGGTGAATAGAGGCCCATTTTAGGATCAACTCTTTCTATTTTTCTTCTCGTACACTTGAAAAATCATGTTTGTTAATAATTGTATTCTTGTTACAATCTCTAATTTGAATTAATTATTTCTTAATCCCAGTGCACTGATACAAATAAATCTTAAGATTTATTTTCTCATCTTTTATCTAAATAAGCATCAGTTCAAAATATTTTTTGACAAGGTGTGGGTGCATCCATCTTGGTGCTCCTTGATCTCTCAAACAATTTTTGATACTATCTGACCTGGCTGTTGGGCTTAGGAGTCACTGTATGGCAGTGATTAACCTCCTTTCTCAAGAGTCAGTTTCAGTCAGTGTTACTGTGTAGAGAGATCATGTCTATGGCTTTTCACTGGTGGGGTTTGCGGGTTTGATGCTCTCATCTCTCCTATTTCACATCTATGAAACTGCTGGGTGAAATCACCCATTAGTTAAGGCTTAGGTATCATCAGTATGCTGATGAAATCCAGCTTTATATATCAAACCAAACTGCACAGGTGAAGTTGTTGATGAGAAGTACTCAGTGCTCTCTGAGCTTGATTGTTTTCTTGCAGATGTTTCATTACCCAAACTAGGTAACATCACCATCATAAGCACTGATTATGTTACATACTTTGGGTAATGAAACATCTGCAAGAGAATAACCAAGCTCAGAAAGCACCAAGGACCTCTCATTTCAATCCTAAGCTACAATTTTTCTCCTTTATTGAAGTTGTTGATGTACTGACCCAGTGTCTGGAGGTTGTTCAGGTTTGAATGGTGTGGAACATACTTTGCTCAGTCCTGACAAGAGTGACTAGCTATAGTTGTTTGGTCCTCCAAGACCGGGCATGTTACTACTCTTGATTTTGGATGGGGCAGTACTCTCCCATTTGAACCCATTGTGCAACTTGGAGTTCTTGACTTGCAGCTATTGTTCAAAGAACAGATAGTACCTAAGCCAAGAAGTGTAACTCCACATCCTTCTGGAACAGATCCTTCTGGAGATATGGACTCTGCCTTCTCTTCTGGGAAAGCTGGATTTGTTTCCAGGCCTAGATTAATGTACTTTTGGGTCTGCTGTGGTCACTTCCTGTTGCTGACTGTATACTCTGGGCTGTCTGTGTTGTTTTATGTTTTTATTATTATTTGTTATTTATAATTATTTTTAATTTTTTATTATTATTATTTTCTGATTTTGTACACGATCCAGAGTCTTTTGGACTGGGCAACCGTAAACAATTTAAATAAAAATAATCAGGTAGATGCTAAAATTCTAAGTAATCTAATATTGAATATTGAATTGAATATTGGACAAAAGAGGAGCTGACAGTAAATCCAGTACATAAGAAAAATGGAATCTACAGAGATTTGAAACCAAAGAAAACAAATTGTAAAAAGAAAGACTTTTGTGAAAAGGTGACTTTTCAGCAAAACAAAACATGGTTCAAAATAAATCTTCTGAGATGTTGGAAATGATATTTGTGAAGTTCAAATGCATAAATATTTAGCTGCCATAAATTATTTTTGCAGGTTATCTCAAGATTGTAATCTACCAAGTCTTATTACTTGCTCAAAAAATACAAGTACATGATGATATCCTGATGAATTCCTAAACTGATAATGCGGCATAACTGTCAAGGAAACATTTTATACTCTTTGCAAGGAAGTATAACTTTAGCAATATTATAAAGAGCACATAGTATTCACAAATCAATGCAAAAGCAGAAAGAGCTGTTGAAACTGCAAACTGAATTCAAGAACAAGAAAATTCCTTCTTAAATGTATTAAATCACACAGCTACTCCCATTCATGACCCAAGTATGACCCAGCACAATTATTCATGGATAATTAGCTATGAATATTTTTTCTAATGCTGAAAACAAACATGTATTTTATTGTTCTTATTTCAAGAAAGATTATGCATCAGACTTAAAAGCAGAAAAACCTCTATAAATTCAATAATGACAACAATTACTGGGTGGTCACTGCCAGAATTGGATCTCAAATAAAAATTAAATAATCAGAAGAAATGGTAAGAAACAGCAACTATCTAGGAACAATTGTCAGATACCTCAGTCATACCTTCTCAATACAGCTATATCTAGAGAGGCAAAAGCTATCTTATTCATAGGAACATACACAAACAGAACCAAATGGCATAAGATTGCTAACAGACAAGAACTCCAACATAAACTTGTACCAAATGATAACAAACAACAATCAGTGTTAGATTTTTGTTCCTTATTTTTAGCATGGAATTTATGAATTCTAGAAGCAAAATGTTCTAGAATGTAACCTTATGTATCTATACAGGCTGAAAATAGAAATTGAAATTGTTTCTAAAGTGATTAACAATTTATTTATCATGTTAGTGTCAGAATGATGAAAAATTAGGGGATTTTGTTGTGTATTTACTTCAGTTTATGATTTAAAGGAGGAAAATATAGTGAAGCACTATAACAATGAGGAGGCAATAATATCTTATGAAGCATAGTGAACTTAAAAAGAAGCTAAAGCACTATTGAGGGAGGCATTTTACTGTAAAAAACAACCTTAGGATAAATATTTTATATGTTTTTTTAAAAAACTATTGAAGTATATGAGGTAGATAATGAATACAGTGACAAATGGATATAAAACATCTTAGAGCATGTAACAAGCAGTGAGAACAAAGCTCTATTCTATACTTCTTATCTACTTTTAAATTATATGTAACAAAAGTTGCATGCATATCAGCATTTTAAAAAAGAATAGAAATATTCTATTTCTCAAAATAGAAACATTCATATTACCTATTAAAGTAATGTCTTTTGTCATTCCCAAAACTGCAGTGACCAAAGTATGTATATATTTGTATATTCATATACTTGCTTAAGAAAGTCTTTATTTTATAGTTATACTTCACATTTTTTAGATTTGTCTGCCACATTCAGTCATAATGATTATTATATATGTAATATATAAATAGAAATTACATACATATGTATAATATATGAATAGATAATGATATATACTCTGTCTTGACTACATTTAGGTGCATTCAAATGTTCTGAATGCATTTCTACTTTTATTATTTTTTCTAAATATCTCAAGGTGGCAAACATACCTAATATTCCTTCCTTGTCCTATTTTCCTCACAACACCCTGTGAGGTGAGTTGAGCCAAGAAAGTGTGACTGGCCCAAAGTCCTGCTTAAGGCAGGACTAAAACAGTCATCAGGTTTCTAGTCTGGTTTCTAGCCTTAACTACTGGACCAACCTAGCTCTATATATCAGCTTTTACTAAAGTATATATAAAAGATTTTTAGTAATTAAAGGATCATTCCATTGTCATGATTATACAACAGAGAATAATAAAATAATAAAATTTACAGAGAATAAGCTACATGTCCCAGCCTGAAGTTCAACGTGATAAATTATAAAATATCAGTTATTTCAAGGCTACATGCCAAGAATTACCTTACTTGTTCTTTTCCAACTCTTCCTCATTAGCACTGTCTGCAAATAAAATAGAGTGTTTTAATCACCTTTTACTTGTTCATATAGAGAGGCCAACTATCTTCTAAATAAGTAATGCACATGACAAAACATCAGACAAGTTAAAGAAAGAAATCAAACAGCCACAAACGTTCACATTGAAACACAATTACGATTTAAGCTCCAATTATTTAATGAAGAAATTTTATATGATAACCTAAAGATGTATTGAAGATCTCAAAAAGAGCAAGAAATGAAAATTATCTGGAAGTAGGAACATCCTAGTTCATGCTACTCTTTCACAGAGCACAAGATATATAGAAATTCAAGACCTCACTCAGCAATATGAGAGAGGAATCTCCAATATAACAAGTACTTATGATAGGCATCCACAGACAAGGAAAGGTCAGCTTTGAACAGATGAGCTGTGGTGGCGCAGTGGTTAGAATACAGTATTGCAGGCTAACTCTACTCACATTGTTAGGAGTTCATTTCCTTCTATCCTGACCAGCTCAAGGTTGATGCACGTGTTTAAAATACTTCCCCTTCCCTTTCCCTCCAGTCCGCCAACCGAGAAAGGTTGGTGACCTCTGGCTTAAAGAGTACTGTGAAGCAGTATATCTCTAAGTGCTATTGCTATTTGCTTATTAAATAATTGGTGTGTTTATTTGCATTAGATTATTTAAAAAACAATTTAAAAAATTCAGGCACTATTTTATTATGCTTAGTTTTTTTTAAAAAGGAATTTTTTTAAGAAAATGCCTTAGCACTAATTTAATAGTCAGGTCTGAAAGACATCATGGACACAGCTGTCTTTTGGCATGCCTATTACAATAAGAAAATTTCAGTGGAGCCATAAAAGCAGGAGAGACTTGGTACCATCTTTTTTTGTGAATATAACAAACCACCCTGGCATTGCTTTTCAAAGGCCCAAACTACCGAAAGTTCCACTTTGATGATATGTTGCTATGTGCCTAATATCAACTAGGTTCCCCGAGTAGCATCCCAAAACTTAGAGCAGTTGGAAGATTGAGTGTTGAATAGCATCTGAAGATAGAAGAATGATTTCCTGATAGTGGAGAATGATCTTAGCCAAAGCTATGCACACAGTGGAGCTCACATGTGAAAGCTACACTGAAAAATATCCGAAAATCAAAGAGATATACAAAAGTGATACTACAGGAGTCTCTTGATTTAGGGAGTTTTTCTTACAAATAATAACTGTAGTTAAGATTATAGTCATGACGTCTGGATGAAGAACAAGTATAAATCAGAGCTGATATCTGAATCTGCATTTTTTTACTAATACAGTACAAAGGGCTACTCCAGTGAGCTGATAAGTATTAATCAAGACCACTAAAGGCTTCATGTGTAGGACAATGTTCAGCCATGGTAGAAAGCAACAGTTAACAAGAGGTCACGGAACCAAGAGAAACTAGGGACTGTTATTTCCCAAAAGCAGGATCAACATAATGGATTTTTTTTCTTTTATTATCAAAATCCTGAGATGGAGGAAGAGAAGAGCTTTGTTTCTGGTGTAGAGAACAAGATCTTGGTAGACTTCAATTACAAATTTCTTCTTTTAAAATTAGACCCAAATCTGAATTGTAGGCAGGATTGAAGATGGAGGAAAATGGCAGGGTAAAAGTTCCACAAGTACAGGGCCCAGTATTTGGAGTAGACGTCTTTTTGTTTTCTTATTTAGTCTTGGTCATAGTTTTTGAAGGGATGTTTATGTTAGCAAATTTAGCAAACAATGATTTACAAAGTTTTTTTCCTTGTGCCAACAACAAAATTGCAGAATCCAGGGAATTCCCAAAGGATGCACCAGAAGCCCCCAGCCACTTTTCAAACATTGTAGAAATGTTGGAAGAAAAGAGCATCCTGGTTTTGCAACAAGTATTAGTATATGTGAACAATTAGAACAAGAAGCTATTCTTCAAAATCCTAAATCCAGCCCAAACTTGTAACATTTTGATCAGACAGATTTATAGTATATAAGGATAAGCAGCAAGAGAATATAACCCAAACACAAAGACATCAGAATTTAAGGCAGCAATAAAAAAAGAAATCTTCACAGAAAGAACTGACAAATGATTATCACAACTACATTGTTGTTCTAGCAGCACTTAAATGAACCAAACTTTTATTTAACCTTGATAGTCCTTGTCTGATCTAGTTTTCTCACAGATTAATCTTGCTATCATATTTCAGAATTCCTCTTCAATTATGTCTTCAGTTGTTACCTTGTCTGTTACCTGGATCTTTGAGGGTTGAGTAAAGGAGGCTTTAAGTCAAAGACATAGAAGCGGGATATAGTTGGTTGCTCTCTGTATTTCTTTGTTAGGCATTTGCAATACCAGATCTACCTCTGGCAAAGCTTCTTCCTGATCTAAGGAGGGTTGATGAAACACCTCATGACAAGACACTATTATAACTTCAGCATCCCCCATCACTGTTTAGCTCCAAGGGAAAATTCATAGGCAAAAAGAGAAATTATATTGGTGCTTACAAAAGTTTATTTAAGTCCTCTCTCAATGCTAGTAAAGCAATAGCTGTGCCCATCCAAGTATATGAAATTTAGTACAGCAGAATGGAGCCTTCAGAGAAATAGAAACAAAGTTTTTTTTAAAAAAAAGGATATACAGGTAATCCTCACTCAACAATGGTAATTGGGATTGGGAACTCTACTGCGAAGCAATGTGATCATAAAGTGTCATATGACTGTACTGATTTATGATAGCACTTCCAGAAGTTGCAGTTGTGCTCATTAGGCAAATCTCACATGGTCATAACATCTCAGGATCATGTAATCATCATTTACAATCTTCTGATAGTTTCCTTTTGACTTTGCTTGTTTGAAGTTGTGGTTAAGGTTACAAATGCAATCGTGTGCTGCAAGATGTTGCAAAGTCATAATTAGGAGCCGGTTGCCAGGCACCTGAATCATGAACATGTGATGCTACCATGGCTACTACTAGAAGTACTAGTTGTAAATACTCTTTGTTCAGAATGGTCATAATTCTGAATGGATGAATGTTAAGCAAGAATTATCTGTACAATGGTTTGTAGCCTTTGACCAAAAATTGCTCATGCATGAAAAATACCAGTTTTAACGAATTGGGAGAAGTTTTGGAAATAAGTTGAATAAATTGAAAACCTACATTATCATAGTAATGCAAATCATATCACTTACTTAATTTACATGACATTACACAAATGAAATGGATTACATCACTTGATGATATTGTGAGGAAAATAACAGCAGGCAGCATGATGCTGGTATTACACTAAAACATCATTTGACTAATGCTACTATGCAAATTATGTAAACAGATGCAAATCATATCATTTGTGTAATTGTGATCACAACTTCATTACAGAAGTAGTGTAAATTACAAAAGACATGAAAAGGTACATGAAGTTAAGGGACTATTGGCGGGAATGTAACCAAGAGGAGAGAGATTTCACTTTTTTTTTCTGATAGACACCAATCCTTTTCAAGAATTGACCTTTTTTTGATTACAACGGACTTGTACAATAGAGTAAAGAATGTAAAGATTTTTCCTAGATCATTGACGGATCATAGCCCAGTTTGGCTGGAGTTGACTCAAGAAAAAGAAGAGAGAAGATCCTGGAGAGTGAATGAAAATTTGTTTAGACAAGAGAAGAATGTTCAAAAGTTAAAGGAGTGTTTAAAGGATTATTTTGTTTTGAATATGTATAAGGGGACTTCAATCTCAATGGTATGGGATGCAGGTAAAGCATTTATGTGTGGTGTTTTGATAAAAATGAATAATTGTTATAAGCGAAAGCAGACTCAGAAACGTAAAGAAATGGAAGATGAAATTAAATCAAAAGAGAAGTCCTTGATTTTAAATCCTTCTGATGAAAGTATTAAAGAATCTTTAAAGTTATTAAGGTCACAATTTAATATGTTGTTAGCAGATCAAGCTGCAACTAACTTGTTGTTTATGAAACAAAATACATTTTGTAATGCCAATAAGCCAGGGAGGTGGTTGGCTTATCAATTAAGAAAGAAACAGAGACAGAGAATAATAGAGAAAATAAACTACAAGGGTAAAATAGTTTCTCAGAAGGAATGGATTAAGAAATCCTTTTTGGACTATTACCAAAAGTTATATAAATCTACTAATGTGCAGATATTAGATATAAATAAATATTTAAGTGAGGTTAATTTCCCTAGACTGACAGAGGATCAGAAACATGAAATTAATGGGATAATTACTAAGGAGGAAATTGCGTCAGCAATTCAACAATTGAAATCAGGGAAAGCACCGGGTACGGATGGGTTAACAGCTGTTTATTATAAAGCTTTAATGGAGGAGATGATCCAACCATTAGGTGATCTTTTTAATGGTATTTTACAGGGTTCAGAGATCCCTCCTTCATGGCGTAGTGCCTTTATATCATTGATTCCAAAGGAGGATCAAGATCTTACTTTACCAAAGAATTATAGGCCCATATCTCTTTTAAATGTGGATTATAAGATATTTGTTAAAATTTTGGTAAACAGGTTTATGAGGGTTGTGCCTTATCTTGTGCATAAAGATCAATCTGGGTTTATAACTGGAAGGTATATGAAAAATAATGTTAGACAAATCATTAATGTATTAGAATATTTAGATAAGAACAACCAAGTCTCTGCAGGGCTGATATTTTTAGATGCCGAAAAAGCATTTGATCAATTGAATTGGCATTTCATGTTAAGAGTAATGGAAGAGATGAATTTTGGTGAAAATATATTACAAGCCCTTACGGTAATATATCAAAAACAAACGGCGCAACTTATTTTTAATGGAGGTTTGTCAGAGGTTTTTACAATAGAGAAAGGTACTAGGCAGGGGTGTCCATTATCACCACTGTTGTTTGTTTTAACATTGGAAATATTGTTGATTAAAATTCGAGAGTCGCAGGAAATTAAAGGAATAGAAGTTAACCAAAAAGAATATAAGTTAAGAGCCTTTGCGGATGACTTGGTTGTTACTTTGTCGCAACCT